CTACAAAACACAGTCACTACATTTTACAGTAAATCCTCCGAATCGTTTTGAGAATTCCTTCTGACTTAAAAGACTCTGTATCAAATGCAAGGCTTCACTCCCCATCGCCACAACTTTGTGTCAGGTCTAACGGCCTGTTTCCGTGCTGTATCACTGTATGTACTATAACCTTGTCAGCAATAAATGTAAAACTGTGACATAAATTTTGTTAAAGTTCCACAAGTAGGAACGTAAAAGTGCATTTCTCGAATGCATCCTAATGAAATCATTCTTCACATACTATGGGATAAATCAGGCATTCCACTGGGAAAGTCACAGAGCAAAAATTGTCCTTCAAAAATATTTGCATCCCACAACCTCCATCATGCGCCCCCATGTGGTCTATTTCCAGCTCTTGGCAACAGAAAGTCATGTGAGAGAAATGCAAAAGATTTCGCTATCACACTTCCAGAAATGTATTTAAAATAAATTAGGGGAATGATTTTAACCAACACAATTTAGGCCACTTACACAAAGTTGCATCCCTACTCTGTGTTGTTAGCCTTTCTTAACCAGGAGAGTGGCTGATGTACTCCAAACAGCATCAAAATGCTTCAGCCTTGAATCAATCTCCTGCAAACCGTAAGTGCACAAGCATGAATGTTAGGTGACACAATAGCATCAGGTTCAACTGAGATAATGCCCGCAATTTGATGTCAGTTCTAACACACTCTTAGAGAATGCAAATCTGGAGTGAACCATCGTAAACAGTTGAGGCACTGTCCCAAACAATATCACTAACTTCACAAGATGAGATAATGCTCTGCTGGAAATGGTGATTGAAGCAAAATCCATGATAGTTTTCAATAGTGTATTGGACAAATGTTTTGCAAAAAGAGAATGGGGTAAGGGGAGGGAAGTGGGGCTAAATGGATCGTTCTTTCAGAGAGGGCAAAGGCACGATGGGCTGAATGACTTCTTTCCGGGCAGTAGAATTCTATGATTCTATCATTCTGTAAGGAGAAAATTGGACAATAATAATAATCCTTGCATTTGATATAGCGCCTTATCATGTCTTCGAGACATCTCAAAGCACTTCACAGAATATACTGTAAAGTGAGTTGACTGTTAATTTGTAGGAGAAATGCAATAAGTAGTGGAGGGTGAAATAATTAAAAAAACTACAAGCCCTCATATAATATTTGCTCTCTCTTTTCCCATCCAAATCGAGTCAGTTTGAGGCAGCATTCGCTCCATGTTCTTTTAGTAAGGAGACTTGGAGAAGAGTTTGGAATGGAGATTTCATTGGTAAACACCAAGATATTCAGACCCATTTTTAAATTCACGTATTAGTTACACCCAGTATCAAATTGTACCCGTTGGGTGTAAGGCAAGGAAGTAACTGCTCGTTTGTTGATAAGGAACAACATTTCTCAGCCCACCTGTTTTAAGAATGCTCAATCCTTCCAGATATAGACACCAAAGCAGCTCAAGTTTCTCCTGAAAATTCGGGGAACCCACCCTATTCATAACCTCTGCAGTTGTAGAAACTAGGATCACATTTCCATTTCTCACTGGGAAAAAGGCAGATGAAAAAGTGAAGCTCCCTTAGCTCTCACTATCAGCAGATGAAAGAATTAATTGATCTAGTTGTGAAAATCTACTCACATGCAACAGATTTTAATTTCAGCTGTACAATGTACATAGATACAGCATGATCTGCTGTACAGTTGTTTCTGGGGCTGTTTGTGCACAGATTCACTGTTACTTGCGCCCATAAAAATACAGTCACTCCACGTTACAGTAAATCTTGTGATGCACTTTGAAATGTCCTCCCAATATCATGAAAGCGATATATCAAATCTAAGGATTATTATTATGATCCAGAAACCTAAAACACAAGGAGTCTATATTAGCAGGATTTCTTAATAAGGAATCTGTTCTGAAACGGGGACAAGCTGCCTTGTAAAGATAGTTGCAATAACCTCTGCTCTGTAACTGCCACTGCAGACTCCTCCAATTACTGAATGTTTTCTTTTGTAGAAAAGCCTCTTCCCATCTCAAATAACTCAGATTAACAAGGAATTGGAGGAACAAATCTGCATTTCACTATTTTAAGTGGTACCAAATGTAAAGGAAGAAATGCATCAGTGTGTGTTTAAATATTAGACTGTCCTGTTGTTCTTGAGTTCTTGAGCGGTAGACGAAAGGTAACTCAAATGTACTAAATCATTCCATGTTAATCTCGCTTTGAGGCATAGGAGGGGGGAAGAATTAATATACATACACACACACACCTAACCTCCTATAGTCTTTGCTAAGTAGCTCTAAAAGAAGAGCTACTTAGCATGACTACTGGATGTATTCCATAGAAGCAGAATTCATATTTAATTTCAATGGACAATAATATATCCTATTATCGATACAGTCATCACTAAACTCCCCTGAGTATCTCACATGGACACATAATATTCCATGGCATAAACAGAGGAGAATTGCTTTGTGCACCCAGAGAGACCTTAAGTAAGCTTGTAAATCAAGGATACAGAAATTTGATACCAGGAGCTCCTGGCCTCAGAATCTGAGCTGCCTTAAATTCAATACAGAGAAAAATAAAGCACCTTCCCAGTCTAACATAACAGGGAGTCAATGGCTGACCCATTCAAAATCTCAAGTGGCCAGATCACACAATCTCTCTGGGCCCCTCAGCCAGGAACTTCCATCGATCTCCTCTAAAATCAACAGAGCAAACTCTCCCAGTAGGATATCAATTGTAACAGTCTTCTGTTCCCTCACAGAAATGAGGAAGCAGGGAACTGCTTCAAGAGCCCATTCCATCTCTGCTGCAGGGGGGATTGGCAAAGGTTTATCATCCTCTTAGCCAAGCACTTCTCTCCAGAATATATGAATTACTGTATATTACCTGTATTTTTCACGTCCCATTTAATTTTGTGCTACCTTATTCTGGGAAGTTTTTGCAGAAAATTAAATGGGCTTTGAAAAATATTTATAAAAAATATATAATAATAATCCTTGCATTTGATATAGCGCTTTTCACGTCTTCTAGAATATATTGTAAAGTGAATTGACTGTATATTTGTGGGCGAAATGTGGCAGCCAAATTGCGCACAGCAGTGTCCCACCAACAGTCATGGATTGAAGTGACCAATTTATTATTTTTTNATTCTTGAGCGATTATTAGGCGTGTGGAGTAAGGAAACTTGCCCAAGGTTTCGCCCTGCCAGGAATCAAACCCAGGTCTCTCGCTTGAGAGGCAAGTGCTCTAACCACTGAGCTACAGGACTTCATATATTTTTAAATACAGTAAATCCACTTTGCAGTATATCCCGCAAAGTGCTTTGTTACGTCTCAACGACGTGATAAGGAGCTATATCAAATGCAAGAATTATTATTATCAAATAAATAAAATATTAACTTCACCACAATTGAATAAACAGGCACAATCCTTGGTTGGTGCCTGTAATTAAATAGGAACAATCCTTGGTAGGGTTACGAAGCTGTGTGAGAAAAAGCTGTTACCTAATACATCTGAATACACAGTGGAGAACCAACCAATAACAGAATTCAAGGAGGCTATCACAGGATAACAACTCGTGTTCTATCAGGTTAATGCTTATTATCTCATTGCTGTATATGCCGTTGCAATACATGATGCCTCTCTGAAGCATCGTGATACAGTGCAATTTTTCTTAAATTAGTTATAATTAAAACAACAGGTTTTCCCCCTGCAGCAGGATTGTTAGGTGCTCAGAAGCCATTGTGTCAGTACAGTGGATTAGTCCCCATCCTTACTGTGCTTGCCAACCTTAACCTAATGCATCGGCTCCATGTCAGGCTGTCACTTGGCAACTACTTCATGCTGCTAAATATCATATGCTACTGCAACAGATACAACTACAGTATAGGCATTCTGCCTGGATTCCCAAAGCCTTACAGCCAACCCATACCTTGCTTACACTCTTCCCTTTAACAACATCGATGCCTTTCAGAAGTTGGGGGTACAATCATGTAAATAACCTGTTTGAAACTAAACATTCATAACATCTTCTCTAATACAATGTGCTGCCAACTAGCCAGTGCCATTGCTCTTGATGAATAGCTACTTCATCCAGCAAAATATCTCCCTCCCAGTGAAGCATTAATGAATTAAAAAGATCCTTCATTTGGAATTTACCGAATGTTTACTGCATAAAATGGATAGAACTGAATGCCTTTTGTACAGGGAGCCTTTCCCATGTCCACATGGACAGAATATTTAGGATGCGGAACAGTGAAAGTGACCCAGTGGGAGCTCAATAGAAAGGTTGTTTCACCTTCCCAGTGAGGGTGCACTAATGTTCTCCAGCCTAGCAACCCAGCATTCACTCCCTGGCACCATGCATTCACTCCCTGGCGCCTCCCTAACTCTCCGATCTCCTCACTCCCCAATCCACCACCAGGTGCCTCCACGCAACTGACACCAGCCTCCTGCTCGACCTTCGCACCCTCCACCCCACCATCGGAGGTCGGGCTTTCAGCCACTATGCCCCAAAAGTCTGGAACACTCTCCCTCAATCCCTTCGCCTTGCCCCACTCTCTCCCCTCTTTCAAGTCCCGCCTGAAAACTTTCCTTTTTAACCGTGCTTATGGTCACCTACCCGCTCCTCGGAGTCAGGCCGTCAAGCGCTCTGAGAAGCTAACCTGCGTGGAGGGTGCGATATAATTGCAAGTTGTTGTTGTTGCAGCAATGGATATGTACAATATGGTTTTGAGCATAACAAGAAAACAGCTGACCTCAGAGAAGACTATAAAGGGGGAAAACATGTCATGTGGGCATCCTTATAGACAATCATGCACTACTTGAAACTATTAATAGCCAATTTTGCTCAGGTCTGAATGGGTTTGGAAAGAATGTGAATGACAGTGAAATAGTACATAAAATCAAGTATTAAAATAATTCAAAATACAGTACAGTTCAAAACCATCAGTAAATGTCAGGTCATTTATAGTGTGGTACATACAGGGCATAGCATGTCGGTAAAGGTTGTCTCGGATTGTCTGTTGGAGTTCATGATCTGCAGATCCCTTCTGAAATCTTTGATTGAGATAGTGACGTAGGTCTTTGTTTAGCTTGCTTCCTGTAATAAAAAAAAGTTTTGTTGCTTAGAAGACAGTTTGCCAGGTTAGCACATCCAAACTCTTCTCACTTACAATGAGACAACTTCAGCTTATTCATTTACTCCTGAAAGTGGCTTTTAGCAGTGAAGGTGTACACAATAGTTAATTTGACGAAAGCTCCTATAATGTCAAAACATTTCAAAGTTCTTCACAAGAAATTGTTGTCAACTGAAGTGACTGTGTAAATGTACAGTTTGCACACAGTAAGATCCCACATACAAACATGAAATGCACAATCATTATATCAATAAATGATTTTATTCTTGCCTTGGATACCTGGAGAAACTCCCTTCTCTGTTTGAACTGCCATGGGATCTTTGGGATGGAAGGTTGATGGGATCTCAATGGCAGAGGGGACATTGATTCAAAATGTTATCCAAAGGACAGCATTTCCAACAACACAGCACTCCCCCAGTGCAGCACTGAAGTTTTAGAATAAATAGTGCGATCAAAGTCTTCAAAGTGGGGTTTAAATCCACAGCCTTCAGACCCAGAAACAAGAGTGCTACAAACTGAGCCAAGCGGACAACTTGATTTGATCAGTTTCCATCCACACCAACCAGCAATCACACTGAATAATGAATTGTACAAGGTTACACTGAGACATGATGTTATTAGAGCATGCGCAGTTAAAACAAGTCAGTTGAGCACTCTGGGATGCTACCCCTTGTGAAGGCCACTATATAAATGCAAGTTGTTGTTGTTATTGTTGTTACTTGTATCACTTCTGATTCCCAAAGGTGGTATTACCCCCAAAGCCTTCCCCAGCTCCACATGCAGGTTTGGAAGGAGGAACGTTAGCCCCAGTGTGGCCTTAAGGCCCAGCTCACTGGGCCTCTCTAACACAAAAGTGACATGGAGGTGGATTCTCCCTCGAAGAAGCTGTTTGTGAGCGGAGTCCCCAGCCTCCCCAACACTGAGACACAGCTCCGCCCACTATCACACAGGCTGGACAGCGTGAGTGAAAGCCCCCCACAGAGGGTGCTACGATCGGCCTCCCCGCCCCCCAGCACAGAGCAGGGTTTCCGCTGCCTGGCCCTAACCCCACCTCCACCCCTGGCCCGGCCTGTGAGAGCAACTGACACTGTGTCACAGGGTCCTGAGCAGTATTTTATACTCACTCGTAGAGTCAATGGTGAAGAACCTGGAACAGCCAGCCTGACTCCCAAGCGCTCCAGGTCGCCATTGAGACATCCCCAATCTCTGCATATTATAGAACCCCCACCTCAGTGGAGTCCTGTAGCTCAATGGTTAGAGCGCTCGCCTTGCAAGCGAGAGGACCTGGGTTCGATTTCCGGGTGGGTCAGGATGAAACGTTGGGCAAGCTTCCTTACTCCACACACACTTCTATTTACCTAACAGTAAGCAGGAACCTACTTGTTAGTCGATTGGCAGATCGCTTTTCTGTGAGTAACAATTCCTTCCCAAAAAATAATAATTTGGTCACTCAATCTATGACTGTTTGTGGGACACTGCTGTGAGCAATTGGCTGCCGCGTTTCACCCACAAAATACAGTCTCTCCACTTTACAGTATATTCTGTGAAGCGTTTTGAGATGTCTCAGAAACATGATAAGGTGCTTTATCAAACACAAGGATTATTTGTATTATTATTACTTCGAATAATACCAAGGTGATTGAAGGATCACACAGAGTGACTGAAACTTTCAAAAATATTATAAGATTGACAGATTTTCTGTAAAGTGGTTGCTGTAGTCTATGAAATTCAGCGTAGGGTTTTATTGTGTTAAATAGTGATAAAAGAAAATAGATCGACAATTAGATGTTAAATTCACATAGTGCGAGGTCTTACTGAACCAACATCAAAAGAAGATATTTCAGTGCCCATCCTGATTAAGAATAAATACATGGCAATAAGTCTGAAATGAGCTCTGCTGGCACAATATCACCCTGCAAATGGGATAAAAATTCTGATCGAATAGATACAGACAAGGCTGTAAAGGCTGGCAAGAGGGAGAATCGTAGGATTGCTTTCTCCTCTTCTTCATCAGCAAATCACTGTATGTGGACCACCTTTGTAAAATGGCAGCATCTATATCCACACAAAATATTAAGTGACAATGCTAACTTTGTTAACTTTGATACTTGTGTTGACTTGAAGATTTTCTTCCCACCCCTGCATGCCCCAAATGTGTTCTAATGCAATCAAAGTTTGCAGTGTAATAATACTTAACAGCCACTGACGTGTTTGGATTACTTTTCTATTCCAGCACTCGGATCAATAGTCTACAGTTGCATATTTGAACAAATAACTGTCCAGGCAACAGGAATGCTCTACTATAGTGTTAGCCCAGCTCAATTGATAGAACTCTAGCCGTTGAATCGGATGCCCCATTTCAGAAATTTCGGCTCTTAATTGAGGCTGAAAATCCAGTGCGCTACTAAGAAGAGCGCTGTATTGTTGATGGCATTGTCCTTCAGATAAGATGTTAAACCAAGGTCCTGCCTGCTTGTTCAGGTTGACGTTAAAGATCCCATGGCACTATTCGAAAACAAAAGGGAGTTTCTCCCTGTGTCCTGTCCAAAAATGCCCCAGATAAAATTGGTCATCCATTTTATGACTCTTTGTAAGATATCACTGTGTACAATTTGACTGCAGAGTTCAGCCCACAATTGTCACTACACTTTATATTCAAATTCTGCAAAGGCCTTTGAGTCATCGTTGATGACATGATAAGGCACTAAATAAAATGCAAGGATTGTTATTACTAGAATAAATGCAATTTAAAACGTCCAAGAACTACATATGAGGATCATTTAGATTTCAAGGAAACCAGAAGTACATCACGCAACCCACAAAAATTTCTCTCCAACACGAGAGAACGAACTCTACTTTAAGTAGAGTTCCCATGGGTCAACATAATGTAGGAGTTACCACTTGGATTCCTTATTGAGGAATCCCATTAGAAAGAAATCGCCTCATGTTGAACTCCATGAAGTGGAATTAAAACATTTGTCAGGATTATCTTTTCATCTCAGAGATCATAAACATGAAATCGGTTCATGATCTTATCAGTTTCCATCCTGCAACTAACCTATAATCACGAGAAACGATGAACCATTAGATTGTATCATGATATATAATAACAGAAGCCAGACCAGGGTGTCAGAAAGAATTATGGTTGAGAAGCCAGATTCAATTCTTATGAATTAACCTGCTCCAAAATTTCCAAAGGAGCCAGAATGAATACGTAAGAGATACAGCCCCAAAATGTAGCTCTACGATTTACTGACTTTCATTTACGGCAGCTCAACAATCCCAATCTACAAGACAACGAGCGCAACTGGGAGCAATGCACCTTCCCAACACAGTCAGTCCACTCTAGAGTGTATCCTGTGAGGTGCTTTGAGACACCACCTGTCACAAAAGACACTATATCAAATGTAAGGATATTATTATTATTATTAATTATTTGTTTCTGCAGAAAGCAAGGTCAAACTAGGCAAAATGAAACGGCACAATAATGTGAACGCTGCAATAAAAAGGAAACACTTTTTTTATTAAGAATCAAAACAAAGGTGGATAAGGGAGATAACATTTTAATAACTGGAAATTTCAACCTATTGAATTTCTTTGCGGAGATGAATCACTGTGGGCAATGTCCTGCTCAGTAGTAGGCAAAATTTATACACTTAAGAGCCTGACTTGGAGATTTTAGTGGTGATAAGACTCCAAACTACAAACTGTAAGGAAATCCAGCAAGGAGGGTGAATAGAATCGATCCTTACAAAATTACATAATTATCAATGTGGTTTAATGTTTGAAAGCATAAACAAATAGTTACAGCCATTGTCCCGAGACAACACTTTTCTTCCCAGTATAAAATAGGAAACTGGTGCCTTTAAGCTTTGTAAACGTCTGAGTAGGAGATCAATTCCCACTGTTAAATATTTTAAAAAGTCAGTAATAATAGCTTGAGAAAAACAGTCATACAGTCCCTAAAGTCATAAAAATAAATTGTGAATGCTAGAATAATAGCGGAAATTCTACAAATAGGTCAATTTGGCATCTGCTGTCTATATAAATTGGTCATTCGCTTTGTTTTTTTTGTGGGATTTTTCTTTACATAAAATGGCTGTGATAACTAAACAGTCACTACACTTTACAGCAATTTCCCGTGAAGCACTATGAGACATTTAATAGTTTAAAGGAGCCATAACAAATGCAAGGATTCATATTTTGCTTATTTTTGGAGAGAGTACATTTCAATTTCAAGGAAGGATCATACCAGAACGCTGTTTGGTAAGAGTTTTTTAGATTCTGTATCGAGCTGTTGTTCTCACCTAACATTTTCAATTGCAAAATTGTGCCTTTCTCTCCAGTCTACCACAGTGTGCTACATCAATTGGCAGTGAGCTGAAGAAAAGCATTAGATAATTCCCCTCTACAAACAAGAAAAAAATCAGTCTTTCTATATAAATTGTGCCAGACATATTGGTGTCAGAGTCAATCCCTGGTCTGTGCTGAGTGACCATGTTTCGGAAACCCAAAGGTAGTGGTCGAGGTACTGTGGTTGGATCCTACTCTATATCTATCCATTGACCCTTGCGAGGAATGGTTCCCAGACGTCTGATGTGTGGTCAAGCTCTGCTGTGGTCGAACGGATGTTCGCTGTCCAAGGCTCCCACAAAGAAACTCTACATGCGTCAGTGAGGGATCAGAAGACTGTCAATGCCTGTGAACACCTTTTTCAAGCAGGAGTCGCAACTTTCAAGAGAGGAAAGGGAGAGGGGAGAGAAAAAAATGAGGGGGAAGGGGAGAGAAAGAAAGAGGGATGAAGAAAATAAAAAAGAGAAGAAACAATATTGTAATTGTTTGTTTAGATACACTTGTTAAAATGCACCAAATGAAACAAGCAGGTTTCTCCTGTTATTGATCTGCACTTTAAAGGCTTATCGATAATACTGCTCACTCCAGCTGTTCTTCAATTAGATAAATG